TGGTCTTTAGTCACTAAATTTTCTTGGGTAAGGAATAATCTCATCTTTCGTAATTAGGACTTTCTCAAGATCACGTACCAGGATGTGGTTTCAATTTTTATAGTCAGTTTAAGGTTATTCGCCCACTTCTTAGATGGATTGGCCAAGAAAACATATGGTCAGCCAGAAAAGGAAAACCACGGGAAAAGTGGAAACATATAAATGACTAATTAGGCAGATGGTTTCTCCCGTCCGGCCTTCTTGGAGAGGGGTGTGTTGTGGTCAACACACTTCCGTGGGAATGACACTTAGTCGGACTCAACATCTTCAAATGGCATTCTAACAGGGTCCGACAATAGTTTTGCTCATGAATAGACAAATTCATGCATAATAGTAAAAAAGGTTCCAAAATACAGATGGGCCTAAATAGCAAACAAAAAAAAATGAAAATAAGGTTGTGTGAAACACAGAGGGGCAATTTCAAGGATTTATATTTTTCCTGGTCCCGTTTAACACAAATACGAGTACGCTGAGCTTCGATTTGTCTTTCACTTATTATTAATATGAAATTCTCCCATGGAGCACTAGTAAACAAAATCGGCACAAATTTAGCTGAGTTTTCCTTTAGGGGGCGCACTTGAACAAATCTTAGAAAATCCGAGAATCTCAGAAAAACATTTAAGAATTTCGTGAAATTAATAAAATCCAGCAAATCGTTATTACATTCATTTACGAACTAGACTACAAATTGCAGGGAAATCAGTTTCCTATTTAGGGCGCATTTTAAAAGAGGTCATTTTGCACTTCAAAAAAATCGGAAAATTAGGCCCAAATAAAATTTCGTGTGAGCTTGGTAGTGAGTCCATTAACTCGAGATTTATGAACAAATTGTGAAATTTAAGATAAATATATTCCTCTGGAAGGAACTAGAGGCGAAAAATTCGAAATGCGCCACGCTGGGCTGGGGCCGCGCTACGCACTTTACATGGGTACATCAACAAAATGAATCCATTGGGTATAAGGCGCCCAGCTCAGAAACAGAGGACGATCAACTTGTAGTCTGGTGCTCTGATCTGACAATTTTGATACACAAACGGATGATCTGACATTGGAGTTCAGACGCGACATATGCGGGACGTTTTGGCCGAATTTGGCCAATAATGTCAGACGCAACAATGGAGCCGTCGCAAAAGGTTTGTTAATTTTTTGGATGGTGCAGTGTATATGAATGTATTTGTTAGTGAGCACAAGTGATTTAAAGATATCAAACTTCATTTAGGTTGTAAGATCGTACGTGGTTGGCATTATGTGCACTGTGTATTGCAATATCTGCATGAAATTTCAACGTTCGCAAAATAAAGAGGGCGCTAACACTCGTGTACTTCCCACATACATGTACATTAGTGTGATGAGAACTTATAAACGTTTTCTCTGAAAAAAATCTCAAAAGAATGGAGAATCACATTGCCCCTTTGTGGAAAGAATTCCATATATATGGACGCAACTAAATTTTGTCTACAGTACAGTGACCTACTAGCCATCTGAAAGTGAGAGAATGTCATAAAAAGTCAAATTTAGCAGTGAAAATACTGAGTAATTCACACAGAAATTGGTTTGGTGTCTGGTCTGAACTGGAGCGGTCTGAAACCTTGAGATACAGAATTTGTCAGACTACGTGGTATCAAGTCTGATTGGTTTTCACAGTAACTGGCGAAATAAGGGACCCGGCGATGTCAGTACATTACTACATGTAGTAGTTGGCTAGCATGAGCAGGACGTTTGAACTTCATGTCAACTGCTGTGCATGCATCAGTCATTACAGAATGTTTATCAGACGTTACATTTAAAATAATAAATCTACGCCATGATGAATGATGAAAAGAATGGAATTTCTCCAATGGAAAGCAGAACTTAATTTAAAATGAAAGTAAAGAAGTTTGTGTGCTAAAACATCTTCTACTCAACTGCTCAAACGTCATACCAAACATGTAGAAAAAGGTACATAGCAATTAGCAAAGCCCATAGAAGTCATTTAGTTTAGTTGTCTATTTCATGTTTGTGTGGATGACCCAGTCACGTTTATTGTAACAACATTGGCTTAAAGTGTTTGTTTTTACATGTACCGTATACTGTCAATAAATACATTAATCTTTAGGAAAAAACCCTCTTCCAGTCGATACACTGTTTAACACTGGTGGCTTCCAAATGTGACCATGAGACAGAAAGTAAATTCATTAATTGTATTACTTCATGGTTTTACCACCTTTTTGACAGTTAGGAACAAAGTTCACTGACTTGGAGATGGAGCATCCCGTAGACAGAGAGATCACAATACCAGGGGCTTCTGAAGATGATTCCGAACTATCAACATTAGATGAGCCAGTGAGAATTACAGTTGTAAGTTTCCACCCAAGGTTTCTTCTTTGAGATTGTCTTCAACAAAAAGCTCAATATTTTGGCATAACAAAGTACTGCAAATGAACTCTGCTAAAACTGGGCTCATTCATTTTCCTGCCAGTGTTTCATTTTTGCTTTTTTCACACTGACTCAATTTGCTGTCTATTGCAATGAACAACTCAATATTTTGCTTGTGAAATAGCAGAAATTACTGAATAACAACCCTGCTTAAATACATTTCCCTGACAGTGGTGTGGCTTTTGAAAATTTTACTCTGGGCTGCTTTTCTTATGTTAACCTCTTGCTTTTTCAGATGAGAGATTTGAGAGCAGTTGGAGTGAAGTTGTTCCACGTCTTGTACCCAAAACAGAGCAAAGCTCTGCTGAAAGATTGTAAGTTTCTTAGTGAAGATAAGCTTCCCCATACTGGTTGTTACCAACCCCAAATAAAGGGTTTTAGTAAGGGATGTCTACACAGGTACTACAGTGTGTACTTTCCCATTGGCAAACAGAGAGGGTGAATCAACAAGTGTAACTCCATTTGTGCTGTGTGACTGGTGACCACACAAAAATGCTTGGAGTTTGAACATGGTCAGATAAAAATTACCTGTGCCTCCAGTGTGCCATAAAAGCACATAAGCCAGTTTATGCAGGTTGAAGGCTTGGAGGGATGTTGTTGATAGCTAGTCATTCTCTTGTTCATGCGGGGAATCTATGCTGATAGATAATCAACTCACACACCGTCCTTGCCAGCAGTTTTGTTCAAAGTAAACTAAAATGCCAGTACAAGCTACATGCATGTGGTAATTGAGTTGAACTTCTCATAGTGATGAACTAAGATCAGGATGTACTGGTATTTCTAGATTTCAGAAAACAAATGACCGCTCAAATATAAAACAAACTGCTCAGATGTTTAAGTGTTCCTCTCTGGTGGATTATGGAAAGGAATTGATGGGTTGTGAATCAGCAAATTGTGAAACAATCATCTTGACTTTAGTTTGCAGGTGCCACATACCTGTCGCAGACCTCTTGTTTTATTAATTGATTGATTCTTATTTTTCCAGGGGACCTGTGGGGTCCACTCGTGCTGTGCACAGTGTTTGCAATGTAAGTAAAATATTTTTCCCATCCATCCTCAACTTAAAGAATTAGGGTTTTGTGGTTACTTTTGCCACATTTTAAGTGATGCTGCAGAGTTCAGTGGATTTTTCTGGACACTGACAATGACAAGCAGGTCAAATAGATCAATAGCGGTCTTCCAGTTCTGTTGAAGGAAGGGAATATATACTGTACGCAAATTATTTCCAAATTTGTATGTAATATACCAAATCATGCCTAAACATTGACTGGCATACAGATTTGAGTAAACACTGCTATTGGCTTGTAAAATGCACTCTTTAACTTCCCGTTGGGCTAGAGAAATAACTTCTACCTTCATAAAACTGTCTTTTGTTTTATTTGTGAAGATGAATAACACCAAGTTTACAAACACCGTGAATTTAGAGTATTTGTGTGGTTTAATACCATTGATTGTAACAATTTTGAATCTTCCACTTTTATGTTTTAATTCTGACAGCATGACTCTACCGTTAAGATTGAAAAAATAAAGTTCAAAAAGCCAGACTTAGTTTACGCTTATGAACATTTCTGTGGGCTGTTTGTAAAAATAAGTCAAGTTGCTCAGTGGGCTAGTTGACAGAAAAGCTGAGATCAAGAGCTGCTGAATAGTCTCAAAACTTTTAGACATGCATTTGATAAAAAGGGCTAAATATTTATTCTCCAGATATATATTTTGTATTATTTGTTTTGCACTTCATCAATATGTATTTGACTTGAACATTTGTGGAAATATTCACAAGCCCACTTGGCTGGGCCTTGAACCTACGACTTCCTGATAACAATGGTGCAGGTGTCTTACCAGTTGACAATTGAATTTACCTTGCTGAGTGGGCTGGTTCACGTAAATTTACCAGTGGATACAATCAATGCCAAATATTTACATCTTAAAAAAATGCATATATGTTAGTTTTCTATTGCGCCAGTGTCTTTTGATGTATCACCATTATTGATGAGATGATTCAATTTTTCTCAAATCCAGGCTACTTCAAGGTTCCTCAAGTTCTGGTGACAAGGAGCCGAAGGGAACAGCCATTGAAGCTCAGTTCTCAGAGGTATTTGCTCTCATTGCCTTCGGTGCCATCATGGTGGCTCTAAACTCCAAGCTACTCGGGGGAGTCATGTGAGTATTTAATGAAGCAGTACCCGGCTGAGGTGATTAAGAATGATGTTTTGACCATTGGCATCTCAAGGAAGAAAAATGGGGAGCACTTGCCTCTCCTAGAAAAAAAGTTGAGAAATAAAAAAGGTGGAATGAGAAAAGTAAAAAGGAAAGAAAAGAATGAAGGAGATGAACATCACCAATTTGCTTGAAATTACCTCGGAGTTAACTCCCATCTCCATTCCAAAAAGGTCCGAGCCACACCCATGCCTCTTAGCAATGCCACTTACCCAAGCCATGCAGCACTGTCCTGTGAAATGTAATGTACCATGAGTGCTGTACGCTGTGAGCAAAACAGTCACATTTGCACCTAAAAAAATGATGATATGCGACCAAATGTTAAATTGTTACCGCCAATGGCGACCATGATTTGTGCCCATTATTTGCCTACCTTGTCAGTCATATTTCACGAACGATAGCTGCCCAGTTTTCGTCTACGTGCACTGAGCAATAAGTCTCTATGATTATGCGTTTTATTCTCCGTCTTACTATGCACAGAGCATGAGCACATGTTAAATGCAACGTAGTTTACATGAAGGTACATATGCTCATGAACAGGCACTAGGTACCTGAGTGGACTGGTTTGTGGTCGCACTCTGTATAGAGTGTGTATGGGGAACTGAGAGATTTTATGTATTCATAATGCACTAGCAGTCTATGCATGCCACCATTCCAGTGCAATAAACTTGTTTCAGTCCAAAATGTATTGTAAAGTTTTGAAACCAATGCTCCCCTTTGTCCGGTCCGGTTCCAAGGACGAAATACTCAAACGTAAGAGAACAATGCCTTGTCTTTTCTTTCAGCTGTTTTTTTTTTCATATAATTGGTTGCCATTTTTGACTTAATCCACAAGCACAAATCTAAAGCCTGTCTGTTCTGCGGATAATTGACAGAACAGTGTTTCTGTGTGTTTTGTCAGATTTTGTACACGTAACTTGTGTATTTTGCAATTTTGTGTAGAGTATGTCCAAAAATCGACCTGGTGCCTAACTTTTATTCTTGGAGCCAGTGGCTCCTCATTTTAATATTCTCTGTACAGCACTGTATACCGTGAAAGGAAACCAACCAGGGGCTATTTCTGAGGCATTTTTGGGTGAATACAGGCATTTCCTGCAGCTCCGTTGGCTGTCGATCTAATTAAAGTAGTTTTGGAATATGCAAAGAAGGTTTTGGGTTGTGGACAGTGGATCTGGATATGCATATCCGCCATTTTCAGAGGGCTATCGAGTGTTTGGATACCAGGGCTGAGTTAACCACAATTCAAACTCATCAAGTCTCTTCACCAGTTCTATCACAACTCTAGTCACAGAAGCAATCAAAAGTAACAGGGTATTTAGTGACAAAGGGATGCATTAGTCACATTTCATTTGAATAGCTTGGGGGCGGGAGCCTACATTGGCTTCAGACTTGACTTGTGATGGCCTTGCAATAGATACATAGGGATTTGTGATGGTCTCGACTACAGCCGCCTGGATACCTGGCGCATCCTGTTTGTAAAGGATCTTTGTTCCCTTGAGTTATCACCTAAAGGCCCCCACATTTCAGTACCATATTGCACCTGCTTCAGAACTGTGAGGCCCAAAACCTCTGTTACTTTCAATTGGACTTCAAGTACAGACCTTTGTACTAATGAAGTCATGCATCACAGTTTCCTATGGAGTTTTGAATCCATAATCCCCATGTGGCTCCCATAAGAAGGACCACAAATGAACAAAATGGGATGTCCTGAGAGCACAGGTGTAGGCCCATCACAGATTTCATTACTAGTGGTGCCTTCCGTTGACCACACAGTGTGGTGGGTGGCAGGCTTCCTTAGACAATTCCCAGCCTGGCTCAGCCAACATTTGAGTCAGGCTGTGCACTTTTGCCTCGAAGTGAAATAAAAGGAGTCCAAAATGACCCACGGGGTGTCAGGAAGACGCTTGGGTACCCTAGCTCAACTATTGGTTCCCACAGAGTGATAGTTGAAGCTTACAAAAGTTCCATTTCATTGTTTCCTCTTCCACTGCAGTTCCATCTTCCAGAGTGTGTGCGTGCTGGGTTACTGCATCCTACCCTTAGTCATCAGTCTCATCATCTGCCGGCTCATCATGCTCAGCGAGGACTCCACCTTGCTGTTCATCATTCGACTAGTGCTTGTCATCTGTGCTTTCATCTGGTCTACATTTGGTAAACAAAAGATATTATCATGGTTCTTTTAGGCCTGTTTGGTATCACAATAATTATCGAAACCGCGATATTTTTTTCATAGCGAATCGGGCCTTTTTTCTTATATTGAAATATCGAGAATTTTTAAAATCCTAAAAATCTGGTCTTTTTATTCCACCGCTAAGCTAATGGAGCAATAACCGCATTGCTTTCGTCTAGCGGATTTCCTGGAGTTCGACAAGAACGTACATGAACGTGCAAGTCCGGGTGCCGAGTTACTGATCAGCACGTCGCAAGTGCACACTCAAGGGAGCCATCGGCCCGGGATTCAAGCCGTCACAATCAAAGATCATATAGCACCGCGTACCGGCACAAGATGGAGAACTTCACCATGAATACGCGTAAAACGCAGTAATCATATGGGCACCATTTGGGTAGCAATACGCCTGTGCAGTGCATGTTAATGCAACAGGCGCAGGCGCCATGACAGGCACACACACCTGGTATGCCTGCACCTTTGTATTAACGTGCACTCGAATGGTGCTTATGGTGATTACACCTTCCTGGCAGAGTTCTCCATCTTGCACCGCTATGCAGCGTTATAGAATCTTTGGTCTCAATACCCATGCCAATATGGGATTAATCTTTACATGGAATCAAAGACGTTATTTATTTTGACTTTGTGAAAGCTTAATCACAGTGTTCTTGTATTTTTTAGTATCCAGGAGTGTTATTTTTGTCACTCAAGTCATGCTTTTATCACTAACGAAAACATTGTTGACAGTTTGACAAACATTATTTCCAAAAATTCAAAAAACAGTAAACTCCAAACAAAGTAACACCCATTGACATGAATGTTGGGGAAAATATGGATTTTGGCTCATAGTCCTAATCTGATTTATGTACAATAGTGGGTGTGGCCAAGTGCATTTGGTTCCTTGGTACCAAGTGGAAAAAGAAAGCCGCTTGGAGCGACAGTGGTCTGTGTGTTTGTAATGATACAAATTCCCAAAGATCTACAGAAAATAACTTTGTTTGCTTAATTCCACTGAAATAAGGCAATTCTTGGCCCATTTTGCTTCTTTTGGATCATCCAGTAGACGGCTCCTTTTAATGTACCACGTGACAGATCTGTTGCTGCTCCTTGCTTGTACTGCCCTTTTGTTGTAGACACCCAATTGTGTTTGAGATTTTCAATAGGCATGAGTGAGGGTCGTGCAGTGCCGTGCACACATGTGTACGTGCGTTAGTAGCTTACTTCACAGCTGAACTCGTCTTCGTTGGTTTCGTCCCATCCGACTTAATATCGTGGCTATAAATGCTTTTGATAGTAACCAGCGATGGAAGATGGTGCAGCGTGCGATACTGTAATTTCATTGTTTTTATTTTCATGTGTGAAAGATAGTTAAGGGTTCACAACGATTAGCCGTTTGCACTCATTAAAAAGGTTCAGATGAATGAAAAATCTCACATACTTTAAATGTACTAGTATTGGTTGTCCGTTTAAGTTCTAAACATCGCATTTTATCTGGTATTTAATTTTTTTTTTAAATGGAATCATACCCAATTTTTTGAGTGGTGTTCTTGGTCTACAGATTGGTCTACAAGGAGCAGATTGTATTGTGGCAATGCCTAAATGCTCTCTTACTTGCCAGTGAAAAAGTGACCTGACCCAATAGAATAAGTTGCTAGTTGTATTCGAGTTAAAGGCCTTTAAAACCATTTGCTAACTGTAAATCAATAGGGACCAGTAATGACCATTACCATCAAGATGCCAAGTGGAGCAATACACCATACAGGCATGAACTTTTCCTATTTTAGCAGGATTTCGGAATCTTTTATTTCCTCCATTTTCACTATTCTCTGCTGCAGTCATTATACTTTTGGGGTCAGCAGGGAACTTTTCCCTATTTTTTCAGTGTCAAAATCATGCTTGGTCATAGAAAAAAGCTCAGTTTGCTCTTTCTAATAGGAACTAAAACCAAAAATACTCAAAAGTGGCCTTAATTCTTGTTTTGTGGGATTCAACAAACAATATACATGTATGGATGTTTACCTTCTGACATCATCTCTTTGTTTTATTTCAACAGCATCTCTGGCATTCCTGGCCGACAGCCAACCACAGCACAGGAAGCTCCTGGCTGTCTATCCCATCTTTCTCTTCTACTTTGTGATTGGCTGGTTGATCATCTCACGCAGCGCCGGCTGAGTCTGCAACCTGTAGCAGATCCTGTTTCATTAGTCCTTTCACAGATATGGCAGACACAATAGGAAGGTGTTACAGTCGACTCTCATCATAGAGGGCACTGTCACAATAAAACATCGTTATGAAGAGCAAATTCTCAGGTCCCCATACTCTTGCATTGTTTGCATTTCTACAGTCCGTCTGGGTCACAGCAAGGTACATGTAATTGGTTGGCCCAAGCAATCTTCTCATCTGCCCCGAGTTGAAGTGCACCCTCACTGGCAAAAGAAAGACAGTCTGGTACGAAGTTTTCTAACCGGGTTCTTGTACGTGTTCGGCGTGCACGCGAAGACCATACATTCCAGAATAAATTTGTTGCGTATATACTCGGCATGCTTTGCATCAACTATGATGTGACTTTGTACCAAAGGACTGTCCGTTTTATTTAAAAGCACGCCCTCTTTTGTTTCCGCTTGGAGTGGGTGATGAGAGTTGACTTTATTTAGTGTCAGACCTGTACCAGCATTCCAAACAGGTTGAGTTTAAAATAGTTTACTCCACCCCCATGGGCTCGGTGAATAGAGGAGTGTTTGTTATTGAGCAACCATTTTTTGCTTAGCAGCAGTCCCCTTAAGACTGGCCCACAACGTGTTTGCAAGTTTGCACAAGTTCTTTAGCAAGTGAGCTCAATTTTTATACAAAAATTGAGGTGATGCTAGTGAGGGTGCACTTCAATTTTTCATACAAAAATTGACTACTTTGAGTGGTGCACATGTACTGGCCTCCTGAGATGATCCACTGAGCATTCTGTTATTTTCCGTAAAATAACCAAGGGAGGCTAGTTTTACGACATCACGAGATAAAGTGGGCAGTATTCGTTTTATAAAACCTCTCACAAATTCTGTAATTTGATCGTAATACACAAGTTAAATAATATGAATACAAAATTTTATGAAAATTCACCAGAACATTTCTAAAAAAAAAAAAATCCTCGTCACAAAATGCTTGAATTCAGCTCGGTCGTGCTAGCACCTTGGAACGTGGGCAATGCATGTGCATACCGTGCCTGTGATCATACTGTGATGTAGTCTACCACGTGAAGCCTAGCCAGGCCCTGAGGCATGGTTGCATCAGTGGTTATAACATTTTTCATAATTAAATACAGAGGGAACCTTTGGCATGAACATAACTTTACTAGATGGGAGAGTTTAAGTCAACTAAAGATGCAACGAATGACAAACTGTGAAAGATTATTGAATTATGTAAAATAAGTTGGACTTGGGTAGTTGAATGGGCCAGTATTGCGCGTGTGCATTAGTTGGCTGGTGGTCAGGCTGTGGCTCTCACCTGAACTTCCCCCTTGTTTGTACGTGAGATTGCAATAGCATTTTTGCTAATCTGGTACTAGTGGGATTGAGTACTAGTGTCGATACCAGGTTCATGGTGCTAGGTGACACTCTAAAGTCCCCTGACCTTCGAGGAGGGGTGCTTATACATATATATCGCGTTTACAATGTAATTCTGTTGCACCCCGACGCGACTATAGCGCGAAGTTCGTGCATGAGCTAATGGGCACCTGTAATTGGTAGAAAGTGTGTAGGATGCAGTCATTAACCAGTTTTGGGTCTTATGCTATACGTGTACTTGGGGCCTAACACTTTTTCTGTGGTTGTCATATCCAAAGAAGGTAAATTAGCATTTGGACATCTCGTAAGCTGATGAAATATGTCTGTGTGTAGTGCTTAAGAATTGCAAGTTACTTGCGTGACATTAAAGAGTGTCAGTACGTGGATGTAAGATATTAAAGATTGAATATTCATGTCTTTCTCAAGCGTATAATATCATGTGTAAATCTGATAGAGTTTTAAAAAATATTAGCCTCAATTTATTAACTTTGTCAGTACAATTTATTCAGTTTAGTATTCAGGGAAAAGGTACTTATTTTACATGTACTGGTGTATTTAGTTCATTTGTTACCTTTTGTGCAATATGTAATGTGTAGTAAATAAACCAAGGGCTTATGCTTTGTACACGCATCTGTATTCAAATTGCCTTTATCTGCATAACCTGTGGATACCACACTGCATTACGGTCACAGCAAGAATCTGATCTAGCAAATCCCGAGAATTAACGTTGCTGCAAAAACCCAGTGAGTAATAAAACTGGAGCAAAGTTGTGGACATGGCGCATGAAACCACGAACGAGAAAATTGCAAAACATTTTGTGTGTGCTCCGGTGAGGTACTGTAGTAGACTTGTAGTAGATCGACCTAGGTGTCGAAAAGGTTTGACTGAGGGTGTGTATGCCTGTCCTAAAACTTCAGGCGAAAGATGTAGCCCCCCACGCTATTCCTTCTGTACGCTGTGACATTGCCCTACTCCCAGATTGTCTCTATTGCTGGCAATATTTTCTCGAGGAGCTATTGGGGAACTAGCAATTAAACTTCCACTAAAGATGCCTGTTCACTGATCTGGCCTTGAGCGCCTCATTGTAGCTCTGCCAGTCCTTATGGGCCGTTGTGGTTTGTTTTATTACAGATTTAGTGCACCAAAACGACATCTTCGTGAACAGGCAAGCGAAAGAAGCAATATTGTGGTTAAAATTGGCAAAACTCGTTGATATTATTGACGCGGCCCCTGAAACAGTAATTGGTTTTGATTGTCCTCGGTGATTGGCACGCGGCGCACAGCCAGTGCAGGACAGTAATTAACAACATATGAGAAAGACCAATCAAAGATATGACTTCAGGTTCCAGCGGAATGCCTGTCTCAGCTTCCGCAGCCATCGCGAGAGAACAAGCACAACAGAAAGTCGCTGTCTGGCATGTTGAGAATTATTTCGAAACACCGCTTCTTGCCATTCAAAATGCCCGTCACTGGTAAAACATTACGGCACTCCCTTTATGCTTATATCATTTCCATCGCATTCCTGTACTGGCTCGCAAATGCTGATAGAAAATTCGATGGGACAACGAATATGTGGGTTTGTTGATCGTGCTTTGCCCTGTTCAAGTTTCAACCAGTCCACAACGAAGTCACAGAAACACTGCTTCAATCTGTGCCTCGATCATCCTATCTGCCAGTCCACAAGCTACTTCTTGAAGGCACACCAGTGCGCCCTCATCAACAGTGCCTCACACTTGAACGGCAGTCACGAGCTGGAGACGGTGACTAACAGTTTCTGCGCTTTCAATGAATCAAGCGTGAGTGAAATTTCAATGATTTCCTACAAAACTGAAGAAGAATCATATACATGTGTAATAATCAGTTCCTTAACTGTTTCTATAGCCGTCACACGCACCCAATACTTGTCAATTTCAACAACAACACTGTAAAATAGCGAAAAGGCTAAAGTGCATACAAGCAGGGTGGATGAGGAGGTCAGCGGGGCCACGCCCCCCACCCCCAGAAGACTATTTCATTTCTATTCATTCAAAAAGCACGGGAAAGCCCCCAAAATGTATAGCCTCACCCCTCAAGAAAGGCCACAATAGGTTTTATGAAAAACTTTCCAAATGTTTGACCCCCTTTCCAAAATTTGGTTCTAAATCTTTCCTTGTATACGAGTCCTGCAACACATTAACTATGATCATAGGCATACGCTGGATAGACTGTATAAAAAGTAATAATTGGTAAAATAAAAAAAAACTTTATTTGAAAAATATAAGTGTCATACAAGATTGATCATGATCATTCATTTAAATACATGATCGATTGTCGGTGTAACTTGTCAACAGAATCATTTAAAAAAAAGGTTTTATCAATCTCCCTGAGCTGGCGTTTTACACCGGTAGCGCTAGCGATTGCCAGTGAATAAGCAACAGTGTAGGCCTATTCTAGCTTTGAGACAAAATGTTTCAGGTTGATTTATTGGAAATATTGGAACAAATCGCCGAGTTCTATAGTTTCGGGTAAATGGTTCCCGGGTGTGCGATGCTTTGTATCAAATTTCACGGTAAGATATATCTTTGAATTTGGTCTCCGATTAAGTAACTACATTATATTTAATTAGACCGACAGATCGAAGGGGGGGTGCATTGGGTCTCATTTCAATTTACTGTTTTAAACTACATTTACTTCCTTATTTTCATCCAGGTTAACTGCCGTGTAACTGTTTCAAAGATCCAAACTAGTGTGGAGGCCGCTTTCTCACTGAATGAATTCAGGTAGGCCTACATGTAGGCATGCATGCTATGATTGATGAGGAACTCGTCAAGGAGGGGCCAGAAAATGGATAGAATCAACGGGGACATAACTCAAAATACAAGATTCTCAATATACCTGTCTGATGAAACAGCTCGAGTTTGTCCGTTCTCAACTTTATCGATGGTATGTACGTACTAGTAGAGACTTTCCCCGTACGTCATGAAATGGTCAGTTTGAAAATGATACGCGTTGTTTTAGAACATTCAAAATGCAAAGATTTGAAGCAACAGAGGGTTCGCGTGACTGCCATCTTGCCGGCCAGTGCTTTTGTTCCACAGGCTCTGCACAAAGGAGTCAAAGCCTGCATACTTTCCCTATACAAATTCAAAACAGAAAGCTTTTTTTAAAAGCATGATGTTGTATGGCCTTTCCAGCCACAAGCTAAGGGCTATCACAGTTCCCAATAATCCCTCGTTTCCGTCGCTATCAACAAACTTTTCATCTGCGTTTTACTCTCTGACAACAGTTGCGAGGAATTACAGGGGGCAGACTACGATGTCAGTGGTATCTACACAGTCTTTCCTACTGGATTCCGACGTGGCAGCTACGGGTCGATTTGGAGGACTGGTACAGTGAGACAGTGTATGCAAAAACGGCGAATTTCAAGTTTCTGGGGACAATTATCAGCTCAAGGTTGCCTCATACAATCGCAATAGCACGGCAGGAGATGCACTGACAAGCAAGCACAATGGCAAGTTGTTCTCGACAAAAGACAAAGACAATGACAACCACCCAACTGGAAGCTGTGCTGAAGAGGGGTCACGGTGTGTGGTGGTATGACTGGTGTTACCAGTCGAATCTCAATGAAAGCAAAGATCGTATAGCGCCGAAGGCGCAAGATGGATAACTCTGCCCAAAAGATGTAGCTTAATTGCCATGGGCGCCATTTGAGCAAGCGATACGCCTGCGCAGTTTACGGTAATGCTTGGGCGCAGGCTCATCAGGTGCACGTGCCTGCCGCGGCGCCTGCGCCTGTGCATTACAGTGCAATGCGCAGGCGTATTGCTTGCTCAAATGGCGCTCATGCGATTACAACGTTTTACGTGTATTCACGGTGAAGTTCGCCATCTTGCCACACGATCTTTAATAGAAAGTACTACCCCGGAGCCGTGCATCACATCGATGGTTGCAAATGGAACAACTGGAAGAAGTCGTTGTCTCTCAAGAAGCATAAAATACGACCAAACAAGTGAATATATCTCTTTCGTCAATTCACTAGAGGGTGGCCTCTTCCATCCCTGTTCTCCTCGACATTTTGGAGGAGGAAAAAATCCTCTCCCTTTAGTAAACTTACGGATTTGCTCTCACATTTTAATTGCACTTTGTCACTTAGTTGTTTTTAGCACACCCTAAAGTGGTTTGTCGTCATTCAGTGACCACTATTTTATTTTTAGTCATAGTTTTTTAGAATGTACCGAATGTACCTGTCTGCCAACAGCTAAGGTTTTGAATCTTTTTGTCATTCTCGCAAAATTGGGGACAAAAGTTGCTAAATGGGAATTCATAAATTGAGTGTTTTTCAACGGGAAAGGAAGTTTCTGCATTTAAGTTTACAACATAACAAAAACTCCTCTCTTATGGACGTTAGTTAGTTAGTTTGGCGTTTGATTGACATTTTAAAGGTTTAAAATCATACATTATGCACGCACGCTCGAGACTGAAAGGATTCTGTATCGATTTAAAATCAACGTTCATAATGTGCATGGAAATATTTTTATATATTTTTATGTCGAAGAAACTAAACTAACTAAACTAAAAATTCCGAGTCATAAGTGGGTAATCAAAATGGTTTTCTCGTTAAGATGCACTGAAAAGCGAATACCTTGTCCAACTGGAACTTGAGAGAGCAGAGTTTCACGGCTGACGTTAAATCGATGGGCAATATTTAAATGCACGGTCAAGGTTCTTGAAAACCATTACTGTAATCACTTTCCAATATGAAGTTAGTGTGTCTGGAAAGGGGAGAATAAAATTAATGACCATAAATACTCTAATAACCCTGCCAGAAACCTGTTGCTTCACCAGATGATCGACTCAACTTTTTTATAAAGATGTAACGAACATTATATTAGTCACCAGAGCCCAAATGATAACCTTTCTAAAGAATTAGTTACTTGTTATCATAGGTGCAGATCCCGGGTGGATGGGGGAGGGATATAGGCTTATCTCCCACCTGGGGGGATTACCAATAATAATTCCCCGACACTTTTCAAGTCACTGACTTTATGCGCACCCCTAGCCTGAGCCTGCACCACCGACTCCGCACTTGCCAGCGTCATGCCGGCAAATTTCACGGAACTCCATGCTCAAGAACGTAATTTTGATTTCATTTTTTTTTTCAAGCAAAAGGTCGGAACACACAGTAGCATCAATCTGGGCCGGAAATTTGAGGATGGGGATTTATGGGGGATGGCTTTCCCTGCAATGAGAATTTCAAAGGGGAGGGGCGCTGACCCTTTGGACACTATACGGGACACTATGGCAAAGCACACCCTCGCCCCCCAAAAAATAAAAGAGCTAGGGAGACTCGAGCTCATCGCAAACACTTTGGGCGCTGTTCAAAACCTGCAAATGTACAAGAAGTATACAGCTTCGTTTCAGACCCCTTTCGAGGGCAGTTTCTGCTCTCAACTACATGCAGGTAATACTTCGAAATTGATTTGATTTCTGCCTTCCTGTTTCGGTTTTATTCCCTCTTCCATTTCTTCATCTAAATTTACGAAGTCATCCAATTGTGATCTTAACTTCATTTTTTAGTTTGCGCACACACTGTAATTCAACTGCCCGGACTGACGCTGCCAATTCATTAAGAACTGCAGTTATTTCAGGAA